ATAGTTGTCCTATGTGTTTCAGTTGGAGTTTGGGAGAGACGTGTGCAGGTGTTGGGTAGGCTATTTATTTATTGTTATTTAACCAGGCAAATCCCCATTGAGATCACAGATCTTTTCTTTTCACCCCCAAAGGAGGCCGGGCCTGAAGGCAGCCTATTGTACATGTTTTTTGTGGGGTGGGGCAAACCGGAGTACCCGGAGAAAACCCAAAGAAGCATGAAGAGAATGTGAAAACTCTGAAGCAGGGATTGAACCCAGGAACTTCTTGCTGTGAGGCGTTGGTGCGAACCACCGAGCCATCATGCTACCAGTAGCTTTTAATTTTCCCAGTAGCTGATAAAATTAAGCTAGAATGAATTTCATCCTTCCATATTGTGTCGTAAAAGATTGTTATTTTTTTTAGTTTTGGGCGGGTCATGGTAATAAACTAAAATAGATAAAAGTTCTAGTGAGTACTAGTAAGTGACCCGATGTCTTTTAGGACAGGATGTGATGAGCGTTGAAAATTCTGGCAAAAAATTTTCTAAGTCTTCTGAAAGGTTTCTTATGTTTTACCTCTTTCTCAGGTGGCTCCACAGTGGGACCAGGATGTGAGGTGTTTGCATTTTGTTGCTCCACTTGTGAATCTTCTGTCAATCTTGGGTGACACAATGACATAATTTGGGATGCTTCTTTTATATATGAGTCATTGTCTTTGACAGGAAGATGCTTCATTGTAATGAAGTCATGTTTCAAAGCATCTGCAGGTTTGATCCGGTCTCCAGGGTTCACAGCTAGCATTCGTTTCAGCAAGTCTATGAATTTTTTCAAATCCCGCACCTCATGAGGATTGCTGATAGATGATGTCATTTCAAGCAAGTCATCCAGAGATTTTAACTTGCTTTTTGTTTCCTCTCTAACACTCTCACCAAACTCTTGCTGGTATTGCTCTGCAGTTTTCAATTTCCAGACACTTGCGGAGTGTTGGTATTTTCTCGCCCACTTAAATTTCCCGGTAATTTTAGGGTCTGTCTGGTGAAGCGTAAAGTACTTTGTGGCTCTGCACGCTTCGTCAAGAATATGTTTGTCCGGCTGACCAACGAGATTAACAATTGATCTTAAAATCTCATACTCAGTTGTACCTGAAAATAGGCGCTGGCCAAGATAAAGCTCGCCCAAAGTTACAGCAAGTCCCCAAATGTCCACAGCAGCAGTTGCTGGAAACCCCACGTAGACTTCTGGGGCTCTGTAGGCTTTAGCCTGAAATAATTTCAACTTCGGTAAATCTGAAATACTATGACATAGGCCAAAATCAATTAATTTTACTTTGAATGGCATAGAAGTGTGGTTAACTAACATTAAGTTGTCAGGTTTAATGTCAGTGTGAGCCATATTAATTTTTCCTAAGGCGGTGAGAGAAACGAGTATTTGTTTTGCGATAGCTCGGATCTCAGACACTTTCAGAGGTGACCGGTTTCTTTGTTTCATAAAGTCAAACAAGCTACGATCCAGCAGCTCAAATGTAAAGCAGAAATTGCCTTCATATTTGAACCAGTCAAAGCAAGTCATGATGTTGAACTGGTCAGGATCAAATTTTCTGAGCTGTAAAATCACTTTTCTTTCTTTCCTAGCTGAATACGCTTTTTCTTTTGACAAAACCTTCAGAGCAACACACTGGTCCGTCTTATTTATGCAACACTTAGCCACTAATCCATAAGCACCTCGTCCGAGGAGTTTTTCCACATGGTAGGCATTAGATTTTTTGCAGATGGTGAAACCCTCCTGTATTTGACTCATAAGATCACTTGATTTAGATTCTGGTAATTCTTTCAAGTCCACGCCCTTTTCTTCAGGGTTATTTTTGACAGGTGGCTCCACRATAGGACCAGGATGCAAGGTGTTTGTGCCATCTTGGTCCATTGGTAAACCGTCTGTGAGTGTGGGCTGACAATTTAACATAATTTGAAATGCTTCTTTTACATAACAATCATTGCTGTTGTAAGGAAGATGACTCATTGTAATGAAGTCATGTTTCAAAGCATCTGCAGGTTTGATCCGGTCTCCAGGGTTCACAGCTAGCATTCGTTTCAGCAAGTCTATGAATACTTTCAAATCCTGTATCTCATAAGGATTACGCATAAAGGATGTCAAATAAAGTACTTCTTCAAAAGGTATTAACTCGTTATATTGTCCGATTTTCTTCCCAAACTCTTGTTGGTATTTTTCTGCAGTTTTGAATTGCCACGCACTTCCAGAGTCTGTCTGGTGAAGCGTAAAGTATTGTGTGGCTCTGCATGCCCCGTCAMGTATGTGTTTGTCCGGCTGACCAACGAGACTAACTATTGATTTTAAAATCTCATAATCAGTTTTACCTGGAAAAAGGCACTGACCAAGATAAAGCTCAGCTAAAGTTGCTGCAAGTCCCCATGTGTCCACAGCTTCAGTTGCTGGAAACCCCACGTAGACTTCTGGAGCGCTGTAGGCTTTGGTCTGAAATACACCCAAATCCGGTAAATCAGAAATTCTATGACAGAGGTCAAAATCAATTGATTTTACTTTGAATGGCATAGAAGTGTGATCGACTAACATTATATTTTCAGGTTTAATGTCAGCGTGTGCCATTTTCATTTGTCCTAATGCGTTTAGCGAAACGAGCATTTGTTTAGCAATAGCTCGGATCTCTGACACTTTCAGAGATGACCTCCTCTGTTCCATAAAATCCAACAGATGCTGGTTCAGCAACTCAAAGCCATTAAAGTCTTCATGCAAAAACCTGTCAACCATGATGTTTTTCTTGTCAGGATTAAGGTGTAAAACAGCTTCTGGCTCCTTGTTGGCAGATGAGCCATTTTCTTTTCCCACAATTTTCAAAGCAACATCTTCTTGGTCACATAAAGGAGATTTAGCTACTGAACCAAACGCCCTTCGTCCAACTTCTGAGTCACTCTGAATGGCCTTTCCCTCTGCTATTTCATCCAGATTTTTGCAGGTTTCTTTAAAAGACACCGACTGGTTGAAATTATTTTCCGACATCTTAGAAAAGGTTTTTTTCACTTTTCTCAGCCTAAGATGCAGACCACCTGGTTTCTATTCCTGCACTTCCTGTTGATAAAAAAGATAGATTAAACCTTATTATTGTTTTTACAGTAGCCTCTTGTAGCTAGCTTCTGCTAGCTTTACTCCTAACTAGCCTCGGTCAGTGCTCTACTCCCGGGCTCCAGTCCAGCATATAGTGATATTTTCTTTAAATTAATTTTTAATAAAATAAAAACACCAACCTTTTTAACAAATCCACTCGCTGTCCAAGTCTGTCGAAGACCTCAAAGCTCCAGATATTGTTTCAACTGAATTAACACTAGAATCTCTGTAGAATCCACTGAGATCTTCTGATCATCTGTGGCAGAAATATGCAAATGATATGCTTGACGTCATGAGTGAAGGTCCCCATTGGCTAATTATGCAAGAGTCTTGACATATCATTGACGTCATCAAACAGAAGTGATGACGTCACTCAGCAACCTTTGGAAACCAAAGATATTAAAGGCTATGTTGGAAACTGCGCAAACCGTGAAGATCGCGTGATTGGCGTTCTCGTGTTATATCGCGAGATTTCATAGAATGCCTCAAATGCTCATTTGCGATTGTGAAGAAGACACAGTGGCAACATGCCAGGGCAATTTATAAAGGTTTATTCATCAGAATTACTTATTCATAAAAACAACGTTTCACTCACAATAAATGTGTGTTCGAAGCAGCACAATTACAACCTGAAGTATTTCATTTTGTGTTGTTTGAAGTTGCTCTTCATACTTTTGGCCACAAGATGGAGCCAAATAACTGTTGAAAAGCATTGAGTAAACAACCCCTCTTTCAAAGCTTCATTGCTTCAGAAAAGCTTCATTTACTCATCACTACATCTTTGAATCATTCGTCTCTCAAAAATAAATAGTGATGGGGCAACAGGAAACTTAAGTTTCCAAGAAGACATGGGGGTCACTGGTGCCCATGTCCTGCAGTCCCTGTGTGAGGGGCGGGACGAGAGACACCCTGGACAGGTCACAAGTCCATTACAGGGGCACATAGGGCAAGAACCAAACATGGGTATTAGCGTGGTAGTAGTTGCAGAATTAAGCTTATATAGTTTCAGACTAAGATAATCTAATGTTGAGAAGGAACCTCTTTTTGAAACAACTTTAGACACAATCTCAGTAACTCAGTGTGTCAGAATGTCACAGCTAGACTTTGTGTTGTGATTCTTACCTGCTGTCCTGAAATTTTACCTCACTTCCTGCCTGATTAACTGAATTATAGCAATGTTTGTGGTTTAAGGTCAGTTGGCCATTTTAAATTCAGTTAGCTTCAAAAGTTAATCATTTGTAGACCAGTGATTATTTCCTAAAAGTGTCATTAAAATCCATACAGTGGTTCGTGACATATTTTCAGAATCAGCCCAGTCCAAAAATACAAACGTATTTAGTGTGTGTGTGTGTGTGTGTGTGTGTGTGTGTGTGTGTGTGTGTGTTCACACTGCTGCTTTTTAACTGATTATCTGCTTCATGGTTGAAGGCTGTAAATGAAGATGGCAAACAAATAGCATTTGTGTGGACACATCAGATTTGATTGCACAGATGGGGCAGATGTTTCTCTATTATTCATAGCAATGATAAAATATATGCAAGTTTATCAGCTGAAGGGACCGAGCCGTCTGCATGCTTACTGAATGATACACAAGAGGAAAAGAATTTCTCATCTTGAGAAAATGCTCATCGTTATTTCGCAACGACGTCATGAGAAATCCATGAAAAAAAATCATCAGCAGAAAACGTTTGCTTTCAGCTTCTGTATTTGAGCTAGCTATATAAACAAATCACTCGGAGTCACTGAATAATATATAAATAAAACATCCTGCGATTTATCATTAAACTTTCTGTTGCAGCTTCCTGTAGGCATCTCCACAGTTGACCCTCCTCTGTTACACCAACCCTCAACTTTTATTGGTTTCCTAACTTTGACTTTCCTGAGTTTGGATGAAGCTTCTGCAGGTTTTTTTTTTTTTTTTTGTACTCAAATGTGATTCTGCTTCGTTTAAACTTTTAGAAAAATACATATTTTTCAGCAGAATTTCCCATGTTTTAATCACTTTAAGATGCAAGACTTTTTAGGAGGCCTAAACAACGTTGTTGCTTTTAAAAATACCATGGATGTCATCTCTTCCTAACTAAAAAGAAGAGGGACCACTCAGCCTGTTRTTAGTGTACAATTTTAAAGCCTGCCTCTCTGATGGTATTGGGGTGAATCTGTGCCMATGACAGGAGCAGCTTACACGTCTGGAAAAGCATCAAGTGCAGAAAATTCTATAGATTTTAGAACATAGGCTCCCATCCAGACATCATTTTTTGGGTAATGCCTTGCATATTTAAGCAAAACGTTGCCAAACATAAAGCATCCACTGCRACAGCTTTGTTGTAGTCCAGGCTTCTCACGCACTGAAAACATTTGATGCAAAAAAATAAATAAATAAATAAAATAAATTTAAAAAACTACCACAGATGATCCAGGACTGATAACATCTAGAATCCTTAAACATTTCTTAGTTTCACCTTTTGATGTTTTGTGTTCTATTGTGAATAAAATAAGAGTTTGATTTCCAAATCACTGCATTTTGTTTTTATTCACATTTTACACAACGTACACTTTGAGAATTGCGGTTGTACATGTTTAACTTCTCAGTTATATAGTTTGTAGATTTGACATTTATATAATGTTGCATTTTATAAAGTATAATCAATGTTTCCAGAAGAACATAGAGTAAAATGACTGAAAGTTAATTCTGGACAGACTTTGGACTGTGCCTGTCCACACAAAGGAAGTGGATACTTTAAATAAATAAAAAGTTAAAACAAAGAAAATGTCACAGTTTGAAGATGATGCAGTTAAACGTTTGATCCAGTTAGGAGTTTAAATTCATCTCTTCTGTTACATTATGATTGATTCGAAATGCAGACTTAGACTAACCCTTTAGGAAACTCGATACAAGCAACCAGACAAAATCACTGCTCATTTTCTGACTTTGCTTTGTCACCTGTTGGACTCACATCTGGTCCTCATGTGTTTAACAGTAATATGATGTCATATTTCTCATATAAAACCTGATGAAAGTATCARTTACTGAGCAGACTCTGAGTCTGAACAGTCATGTGACCTGCTGGACGAACACGCACATCTCTTGTGATTTATTTGAAACAAAAGAAGTCAGTCCTGTGCATCACATCTGTGAGGTTCTGAGGCTCTTTTCCCCCCTCATAGTCTTGTTTTGTTTTTGTTAACAGTCCTACATATGATGTCAGGAGATGAACCAGAAAACAAGCTGCAGTCTTTGTGTGTTTAGGAGCTCTATTAGTCTGTTAGGAAGTCCAGCGCCACCAGGCCACTTTCATGCGGTCCCACACAGCACCAAAGGAATCGAAGGCAGGACGCACGTCCAAGATGGAGAACTGGTAGGTGTCTTGGTTAATTTCCCCATCGTAGTAATCGATTACGTAGCGCACCTCCTTCCCACAGCGGTCAACGATCCAGTCGTGGCGGTCGAAGGGCAGCTCGTATCTGTAGAGACACGACAACGCACTCAAACATGGAAGCTTCCGGATGCTGACCTGAACAAACTCTTCACTGAGTGTTAGAAGACTCGTAAAACACAAGCCCGATCAGCCTCGGGTAAAAACAGATGGCTTCACCATTCTTGGACAATATTTATTCAACAATTGTTTGAGGCGAGAAGATACTTTGGGTTAAAAAAACAGCAAAGCAAAGAGAGGCTCACCCCATCAAGTGGCGGAAGCGGGCTCGGGGGGAGTACTCTTTGGCCTTCCCACCAAACCTCTTCAGCTTCGGCCCACATGGACATTCCCTATCAGAAGACGGGAGAAGATTTTCTGATGAGCAGGTGGAATCAAGAAATCCATGAATGACGTCAACATCAACTTTATTAAAACACTACTACATTTAGTGTAGTACACATATACTGTTTACTCTATTACTACGTTCTATTATCAGGGCTGTCCGTTAACATTTTAGCTCATAGCACCGGTGCTACAGAGGTTGCTGATTTTGTAGCACAGAACAAAAAGTTGTAGCTCCAGCATAAAATATCTGTTCTAATCTCTAAAACTAAAAGGCAGAATGGTGAATAATATAGTGAGTATTGTTGCAGGACAGGAGTCACCAACCTTTTTGAGACTGAGCTACTTCAGGGGAGTAACACAAAAGGCTACTTGTTTGATAAAAACAGATTAATACAGCTCAGATTCAATTATAAGAAATTTATTTATATGTGAATATTTAATTACTATGTTACATCTTAATGTTAAAGACTCCTCATGATAGTTATCGAAAATAATTTACTATGATTAATTTAATATTACTGTAAGTGATCAGCAGCTTTATCTTAATCCAGAGTTCTCAGTTTAAATCTCTTTTGAAGAACACAGAACCACTAAATGGATGAACAACACATAACATGTTCATTTTCCCCCTGACAGTTCAGAAATCATCAACAGAGACCCTCTCTCATCGCGCTCACGTGTGATTTCAGAGAACAGGATGGAATTAAAAGAGGCGTGGAAAAAAAACCTCAGCTGCTCTGATTCAAGCTACTAAAGTCTGCAGCAGGAGCTGCAGAATAACTCTTGACCCTTTGTTATGTTGCAGATCCAAATAGGTCCAAGTACATCTTTTTAGGGTTTTAAGTTTCAAAATAATCCGACTTATTCTGATTGTATCTGCAGTTAGTGTCTGAGTCAATAAAGTTTGTATTTATCTCATCAGTACGTATAAAGAGTAATGAAGTTTCATGCCTAAAAAATAATAAAATAAAAAACAACCCATTTGTAACATTTATTCAAAATACACATATTTCTTTGTTCTAATTATACTAACTTTTATAGATACAAAATATCAGTTATGTAATATAAAAACAAGCATAGAAAGACTTCCAATCACTATGAAAATGATGTTTTTCTACATTTTAATGCATCTAAAGGGTTAATGTTCCTGAATGAAGCGGGGAGGAGGTGTGTGTACTTGTTTTTGCTGCCTGGTGAAACAATTTTTGACCATTTCCCCGGTACACAAAGCCTGGTGAGGAGGACCCACAGTTTCTTATGGAGACAAAAGCCCGGTCCACATCACGGGGTAAATAAAGTTTAGACTAGACTTAGGGTCAGATGGGCTTTAGAAAATCCTGGTAAATGAATGAAAGTCAATGCAAAGTCCCCATAAGGATAGAAGAACAACCACGTACGTGCGTGCGTGCGTGCATGTGTGTGTGTGTGCGTGTGTGTGTGTGTGTGTGTGTATGCATGTGTGTGTGTTTGTGTGTGTGTGTGTTTGTGTGTGTGTGTGACAGTGAGGATACAGCAGAGCGCTGCAGGGAGGAAGTTCACAGTTTTTAGCACGAGTTGCGGCTGGAGCAGCTTCGGTTGGTATTTTCTGAGAGCTTTTGGTAAAACACAGATGGTGCATTTAAGTTATTTTAGGGAGCTACAGTTAAAGTCTCAAAGCACTTGATGAGTCTGTCGCGGGTCTGTCGCTGCCTCGCTCCGAGGTACAGAGGCGGGGGAAGCTCCCCCTCCTTCTCCTTCTCTCTCTCTGCCTCCGTGTGTCTTCTGAACCGAGTCAGGTTTATACGGAACGGGTTTTCTTTTAAAACAGTCTGAATCAAACGCCTACATTACACATCGCTGGAATTTATTGTACGCAGGAATTTAATGCACAACAAAAAGTCCGGCTGGACGGACAGAAAAAAAAGCGGCTTCCAAAGCTGTCGCACCAGTGCTACAAAGCCTTTTTCTTTTATAGCACAGACAGTTTTTTTTCATAGCATAAATGTCGCACTGTACAGCCCTGCTTACTCTGTTGTGTTGATTCTAACAAGCTGCCAGATTAAACATGTTCCAGTCAGAGATTAACAACAGTCCTGAAAAAAAGTGGTGTATACTATTCATCACAACTCTGGTTTTATTAGTCCAACCCTTACAATTTAAAAACTGATGTATAGTTTGAAGTCTCTACTTTTCACATATAAATTGAAACAGAGACTCAGAGACGGCTCATCTTTCCTGCCAGAGCGATTTAAACTGATCATGTGACTAGGCTCCACAGAGTTAATATACAGGCACCATTTTTCATACCACTCAAGCCTACTGGTGACTTTAACCTCTGGTTTGGTTGCAGCGTTAGCGTAACATGACGTGATGTTTGGGACGTTAACGGCTTACTGTGCGTGCAGGGCTTCCCACTTCAGGATCTCCTGCCAGGCCTGCTCGTTGTTCTGGTTGTGGATTTTGATGATGTTGCTCATGTCATTGGGAGCCAGGTCATCGTCCCGCCAGCGCCACCTGCAGTCCAAGAGAGGTTACATATATTCATCTGAACACAAGTGAAGTCGTATAAGATGATGGACAGGAATGCTTTTTTATAATATTATTAGTTAATTGTTATTATGTATGAATTGTTGTTCAAGGAGTTAAAACATTTAATTTTTTATTTGTTTTTTTGTTTTTGGTAAACTGAAGATTATTTTTGATTGAATTTATTTATTTGAGAAAAAGGCAGATATAATAAGATATTTTCTTCATCTGCTACCTTTCATTTAATTTATGTTTTGTATTTTTGTTGAATTTATGTTGTTGTTTTTTAAAGAAATTAAACAAAACTAAGATCTAAGGATTTGTGTCTGACTCAAGTTTTCCACAGACTCTTGGTTCAGGTCATGGTTTTCTATCAGCACAATGGGCCTCATGCAAGAACCGTTCGTACGCACAGATTTGTTCTTAAGTTGTGCGTACGAGTGATTTAGGAGAATTTGTAGCATTCACCAATGTTTTCGTATTCTGATTTCTTTCAGATACGAACAAAATTCACGAGTGGTCCAGACCTGTGGTATATTTTACGAGCAGTCAGTCTGCTGTTATCCAGATGGATTTTCCTCCCTAATTACTTTATATTTCATTAGTTTGAAGATAATTTGAGTTGAAAATAAATCACACTCCAT